GGAAACATTGACAACTATACAGGCAAATATTGTATTGCTTAAAAAAGTTTATTTAGGTTGCTCCATTGTGGGGGGAGTTGGTTGTTGTTTTTTTTTTTTCTTTTTGGATGGTGCTACAGACACCATAAAATTAGCTACAGTATTATTCCAGTGATTTGTACGCTTCATATTCATGCACCTTCAAAATTAAAAGCAACCATGATAAAATGAAGCAAATAAACAGTCCTGCAGAGGACCTAATCCCTTTCCTCCATGCTCCCAGCAGCCACCGAAGCCAGCGAGGGTCCCAGGAGGGCAGGAGCGGCAGAGCCCAGGCTGAGCGGCGTGGAGGATCCTTGGGAAGGCTTTGTTGCTCTGCCACTGGGATATTAATGTTTCTGGCCAGCTGACAGCATGTGTGGCGAGTGTAAACATTTGGCTCCAGCAAAGAGTTGCAGACGAGGGAGGCAAGTTGTGCACGAGATAAGCAAGGTCCTTGCGATAGTGCCCAGCTGAGCAAGGGCTGTCTCCGGTGCATGTCAGCAGGACCAGGCGTGAGGGCCCGCAGCACTCCCGGGGAGAAGCGGGCACGGGCAGAGGGAGATGCAGCCGTCGGTGGGAGGACAGTGGTTTTGCAGCGGAGCAGGGCACTTGCCCGGTGCCTCTGCAGCCTCCTGGGGCTCCCAGCTGCTGGCTTGTCCGAAGGCCCTAGGTGGGTTGAGAAAAACCTTGAAAATATACCACTGGGGACATGTTAGGGGTCTGAAGAAAGAGCTTAGAAGCAGTATTGAAGATGCTTGCAGTACTGCTTTTGATCATGGTGTGTTTTGCATCCAAACAGCAGCCATTTTGCAGGGGGCAGAGGGAATAAGTGGGTAAAGAACACACAGACCTCTGCTTTCCAGCTCTTTCCGAGCAGACCAGCAGTCCGCACTAGTTCAGGCTTAATTTGCACTCTGGGTTCATTGCAACAGTGTTTTAAAACTCACGTCTTACCCTGTATGTCAGCAGACAGAACAGTACCTCTGTGCTGCTGCTTGGGGTCAGCAAGCCTTCAGGCTCTTACTTTCCTGAAGGGCCGAGTGAGTGGGGAATTTTGCATTTTTGCAGTCTCTCATTCAAATAAATAACTTTGTAAATATTAAAAAAAGACCTTGAGGCCTTAGGCAGCCTGAGGAGAAGGGGTGGAAGGTGCTGTTACACCCAGGGGTGTTACAAACCTGCTCTGCCTGGCTCCCTGTGCCGGAGGGTGGGTGGCACGTGGTGGCTCCTCTCTTGCAGCTACCGCACGTGTGTGTGCATGCGTGTGAAACTGGTTAGCTTGGCTGTTTTTTCTTCTGAATGTTCAGCATAAGCAGGGAGTAATAAAATGCAACTTTTCCGCAGGGACCAGAGGAAACAAAATACTGCCTGGGTGTAGCTGAGGGCAGAGTCTGCTTCATTATTTTCTGTGAAATAATTCCCACGAGGCCTTGTGGAAACCCAGGGGGTTTTTTTTCCTTCTAATTTTTCTACTTCCTTAAAGTTTCCAAAATACTCTGCTGTAACATATTTTCCCCAGTCACATGTGTTAGCTAGGAGAGAAAAGGTTAAATTCTCCTTTCGTACTATAATGTAATTCATTTCCTGTTTTTCACAACTGTCTAGACACAGATCTAACAAGCATTAACCCTGAATCCCACCATTGGGCTAAAAATAGAGGCTTTAAATATAAAAGTGTGTGGTAAGAGAGAGATTGTAGGTTTCTACCTACCACCAGGAGCCAGCTCTTTTAAAGGAGAACCATTTAATTGTCTATAAGCAAGAAAAAAAACAACAACAAAAAGACTTCAGTTTCAGAGGTTTAAAAAGGCTCCTGGTTGCTTTATATACACCAGCAGCAGCACAAGCGCTGCCGAGCCGTGGCACAGACAGGTTGATCCCCCTTCGGGAGTTATATTTGTCTGGATTTACACCTCCAGCTATATCCAAAAAAGAAAGAATAAATTCCACTTCAGCGGGAGAACTATAAAAAGACGGGGATGAAGTCATTTAAGAGATAACCCATGCCGAAAACCATGGGCAGCTTTTGGTGGAGACCTATGGACAGCACGTTCCCCAGGCCCAGCTGAGGAGGGTGCCCCAAACCCCAAGGGGAACAGTGATCGCCGTGGTACCAAGAGGCAGCTTGTTTGGGGAAGGCAAAGCCACAGTGATTTGATCCCAACCTACCAAAGCGTTTAAACGCTCCTTCAGCCATGACCAGATCCAACAGGACTCTCATCAGCTTAAGCTGGATCATAGTTGGGCTGAGCATTGGCCCTAAGTTAAGCCTGGCAATTGCCCCGTGGGTGCGTTGGCTCCTCTGACACTTCCCACAGGCTGGGCTACCGCACCAGAGCAGGAGGACGGAGAGAAAGAGATTTCTGGCCTGTAACACGAGCTAAACCCCTCACAAAAGTGCGAGTTTTGCCTGTGATGGAAAAGCAAGGAGAAAACAAAACTGCAGGCCACGCTGGCCCAGCGCTGGGCGCAGGCAGGGAGTGAGGCGGCTTCTAGGCCATCGCTGACAGTTTGTCACACGCTGTTCCCATCAGAGAGTACCCAGAGAGACAGCGTTTTTTATGTACTTCACAAATCAAAATATATATGCCTGTAAGACAAAGCTTAACGCTCAAAAGCCCTGTTAAAATACCTCAAAATTCACGGTGTGCCATGAAGAGGAGGAACTCACATTTCCTGCACTGACTGCGTTTCTCTGTCTGTAAGCACAAACCCTGCAGGGTTGTTTGTTTATTTATCCTGTGAAGCTGGGAGCCGGTGTCTTTCCTGTCCCACCACCCGCTTTCAGCAGTTGCATGAAAGCAGCGGCAACCCTGGGGGTCCAGGCGGGACCTGCCATCTTGGCCGCAAAACCTGCGGGTGCTGCCTCCTGCCTTCAAGGCCTGCTCTGACCAGGACCGAAATGATCCAAGGAAAACATATTAAAAAGACATTAGTTTGTTTGTTTTCTACTAAAAAGCACAGTATACTACGCATCAAGAATGGCGAGGGGTGAACTGGTGTCTTTCCAGCTTAGGGAAGGCCTTTGAACCCACACAAGTTATTTATAGAGCCTTTTAGAAAACAGCTCTCTCCAATGTCTGCAATTTTGATGACAGGAGCAGCTCAGCTTTTGTCAAAAATAAAGCAGCCTCCTATGTGATTGACTGGGGTTCACCCCACAACCCTTGTAAGCGGAAGAGAAGCAGAACTGAGGATTAGGGAAAGTTGGGGTAAAGCTGAGTCACAATCTTAATATTTGTTGTGTAAGTAGTTTTCAAAGTGCTTTTTGCCTGAACTCTACTTCTTTATTAGGCTCTAAGACAGACAAGTGAGGGCACTTCAAGGAATTATACAGCGTGACTTATCATTGATCAAGGCAGGACCTCATCCACGCTTCAGGCTGCCTCACCATCTATCTCTGAGCGCTTTTAAAAGGGTAGAGGTGTTGGCAGCACTAACTTGAAAATGGAAAGAATTGTAGGCAGACCTCACTGACCCACCCAACACATTCCTAAAAAGATCAAGTATTCCCCTTAAAGGATTTAGTCTATTAAAGTAAGTAGAATTGAGCATTTTCAAGAGAGTTAATGTAAGAAATGTGTCTTAACAACAGCTTTCGCATCCACTTGTTTAAAAGGCTCCGGTGATCTTGTAGACTGTCCCATGTTTCCAGAGACTTGAATCTGGGGGTGCAACCCTCTAAGTATAGACCTGAGGTGCAGCATAACTACCTGTCCTGGTTTCAGCTGGGATAGAGTTAATTTTTGTTCTAGTAGCTGGTATAGTGTTATGTCTTAGATTCAGTGTAAGAACATTGGTAACACACTGATGTTTTCAGTTGTTGCTAAGTAGTGTTTAGACTAAGTCAAGGATTTTTCAGCTTCTCATGCCCAGCCAGCAGGGAGGCTGGAGGGACACAAGAAGTTGAGAGGGGACACAGCCAGGGCAGCTGACCCAAACTGGCCAAAAGGATATTCCACACCATGTGACATCATGCTCAGTATATAAACTGGGGGGAGTTGGCCTGGGGGGATCACTGCTCAGGAACTAACCGGGCATCGATCAGCAAGTAGTGAGCAATTGCATTGTGCATCACTTGTTTTGTATATTGCAATCCTTTTATATTATTGTAATTTTATTATTATTATTAGTTTCTTCCTTTCTGTTCTATTAAACTGTTCTTATCTCAACCCGTGAGTTTTACCTTTTTCCTTCCAATTCTCTCCCCCATCCCACTGAGTGGGAGGGACTGAGTGAGCAGCTGCATAGTGCTGGGGTTAAACCACGACACTACAAAAAGACTTATGAAACCACTCAGGCATACCTTACTTGACAGTGCAAATGAGATTAAAAACAAAGCATCTGCATTTTGTGCTTACTTTCATAGGTGGCATAGCTTTCTTGAGGTAAGTAATCCTATTTTACCATGATAACTTCTCTTGTTCCAACATGAGACATTTAATTTGCATTTTTCAACTGCTTTTCCCCAATTTACTGGGAGTCCCTTCAGTGTGCTCCTACTTGCATTCCCTCTGAGCAGGAGCCTATGTCAGACTGTTGCAGTCCTGACTCTAACCAGATGCAGTTGTAACTGAAAAAGTTTTTTTTTTTAAAAACCATAAATAATCAAAGTCACTTGGATAACAGAAAAACCCAACATTTCTGTAAGCCACAAGTTGGGGTTTAAGCTATCAGACCATTGTGAGCACTGGTGATCTCTTTCAGGGCAACAATCACTCACTCCTGTGCTTTGGGAGAGTACAGATTCACATAAGCGTGAGCTCCACATGAGTGCCGTTTTTGCTAGAAGCAAGAGCTCCGTCCACCTTATTTTCCTTCAAGGTACAATGAAGCAACAAGTCTATCTGGGATGTTCTTCTACTGCCACAACAACCTGAATTCTGGATGCTCCTGCAGAAGAGCCTTTGCTTTCAGTCACCAGAAGCTCAAGGCTGACAAGGTCACCAACTTGGAAGCAACAAGACAACCAACTCCATGGTTCACATTGTTTGAACATTTATTGCAATTCAGTGTCAAAAAGGTTTTACAAAAATACATTACTGTCTGCACAGAACAGCTGTAAAAATCAGAGTTGAACATGCAAGGGAAGAAGAAAAAAGTGTGCAAATTTATAACAGAAGGATTTTAACCACACAATATTAAACAGAAGTCTTATATAATAAGGGATGCCTTTCACTTCATATCATCTCTAGTTACAACTTCAAGGAAAAACAAAACAGAACACACGCTCTCTTCCATATATAAGTAGGTATTTATAATTACTGTAGATTAGTTCCTAAAGATGAGTGTATTTGCTATTTCAAATTAAAATGTTCTCTTGGTAGCAGACCTGTTAGCATTCTGTGTAGCACATGAGGGCCAAAGAAATGAGTTCCACCCTCAGTTGCCCTCCCAGGAGGAGAAGCAGCAATGCTTGGTCAGTGGAAGGGGAATCTCTCTGGTGTTCAAGGTATTAATATACAAGAGACTGCATGTGTCAAGGACAAGATGGATTTGTTCTCTGTAGGGCCAGATCCTGCAAAGCTGATTTGCTACCAATGAAATCCCTGGAGGAAGATATGGGATAGAAATTGGGCACTGGTAAAGACACTCACACAACCCAGCAGCCACATGCTGACAGCTGTGTGGATGGCTGGCCATGTCTTCAGAGCCTTTAACAAACATCATTATAAGCAACGAGCTCAGAAAAGCAGCACAAGCAGGATACCAGAGTCCCAAACCTTGTAACAGGGAGTCTTTATCAACCTGATCAGCCATCAGCTCCACGGGGTCTATGTTTTTGCAAACAGGCCAGCTAGGAGAGTGACATTTTAATTTAAAGCTATGTCTTTTTGGCAAGGTGCTGATCTATGGGGAAGCTGTGCAACAGGTTTGTAAGAACTGCAGAGGACAACACTGGTTTGCTGTACCGGGCAGGAGATAAGCATGAAACAGCACACCTGATTTATTAGCTACATAACAGAATTTGAAATGTTCCTGCTCTAAATCAAATTTTAGCTAAGCTAATTCCTTTAGCCAAGGAATTTTCTGGGCAGGGAAAGCTTGTTTAGTACCTCTGTATGTTCTAGAAGGTGATAGCTTTGCAAGAGTAACTGAAGTCAAACAGAAATGGGAACACAAACAGTTCAAAACCTGGGGGCAAAGAAAAATAATAAAAAAAGATATTCCCATATACAGAAAGTGGCAGGGTGCAACTAAATGTTTACATACAAAGCAATGTCTTCAGAGCAATACAAGTTTTCCTAATCACTTTACATAATAAAAGGATCTAGAAACTCCCACAATAAAAAAAAAAGAAACCCAAACAGTATAAGAGGAGGTACACACTGTTTATGATCAAACTTTACCATACCATAGTTAGTATAAATGGCTTAAGGTATGTACAGCTGAAATTGTGCCTCTTGAAGTGGCTATCACATTAAAATGAACTCCAAATACCTGCCTCTTCTAGAAAGCTGAAACAGAGATCTCTAGAATCTCTCCCTTCCTAAGTCTCCTCCCCCGCATGGATCTATTTTTCCTCTTCACAGCACTACATTCTACACTGTTGCACTGGTTAACACATCCTCTGAAGATAATGAAATTTCTCTGGATATGCTGGCAGGAGAAAACACTGAAGAGGGAAAAAAAACTCCTTTCCTAGTATAAGAACTGATGCATGTCTAATGGGAATGCATCAACTGACTGGAAGGTGAAATGTCATTTGAAAAGAACGTTCCATTTCCAAAATACAAGTAAAAGTCTGTTTTCCCTTCACAACAGCTTTGTGACAATTGTCTTAAAATAAAGAGGTCCTTTTTGCACAAGAGCAGCCTTAAACCATCCTGCCTGGAAGCCTGTTATCACTGTCAGTTTTGTTAGTCTGCCATCCTCAGCCAAGCAGCTGTCTTTGCACTGCTAAAATACTACCACTTTGTAAGTGGTTAGACTAAGGTATTTAGATGCAACAGCATTTAATTTTAAATACAAGACTATTGAATTCACCACAATATCTCCCTGTACCAGCCACTTGAGAAACAATGAGTCTCCCAAAGAGATCAAAGTCTTATTTGACAGTTGCTGTAGCAGGAGCGTAATGACTGGGGCAGTAACTGAATGAGGCTTATTCTGTTTCTTTTTGTTTAGTCCATTTTGTTCTCCAATACAGCAGTTGCTTGGTTTTCTGCTGCTTTGGACACTGACAGCAATATCCCAGGACCACACATGAGCAACACACAAGTGTGTGACTGTATTAACAAATCACCTTCAGCACTTGACCCTTTAAGATTACACAGTGCTAAGAAATAAAAACCACTAATTGAAGTTTTACAAATACGAGCCTCAGTTGCACATTAAGTACGTTGTCAGCATGACCCATGCACTCTGGGCAGAGGACACAGAATAAACTCTTAGCTCAAGATCAGTGAAAGGCTGAGAGAAGCAATGGCTAGAGCTGAGACATTCCAAGTTGCAGCCAAACGCCGAGATCTTCCGTCTTGCTGTGCAGGGAATGCACTAGGCCAGATTCAAACCTGAGCTTAAAATTCACCCAGTGTCACAATCTCACAGTGCGTGTCATCTGCTAAGCACAGACTCAGACTAGGCAGAACCCCCCAGCATTTCATACCGAAATACTGTTGCCTCCCCAACACAACAGGTTGGCTCACTATGGGTGGCAGAGGCAAGACTATAAAACAAACCAACCCCAAGTCAGAGCTGGAAACAGAAGATGCCAAGGGGCACGGGTCCTCTCACTGCTGGAAGAAGGAGCTACAATAATCTCCAAATACAGTGGCAATGCTTCACTCACTCCACTTGCAGGTTTCTGTCCTTTATGTCCTCATTCACTGAGCCAGATTTCAGCCACACCTACCTGCTGCCACCAATGTGGGAATGAAAACAGCAACTGGCCACCTTCACTCACAAACATCCCCCCCAAACAAGCAGAAGTTCATTTTTCCAAGGTAACAGCTTTTAAATCACTTTCAGTTGACATGAATAGAATCAGCAGGGTTATGCTTTCCACCAGCAAAGTGATGGATACACCAAGATAAAGCTCCCTATCCCACACATTTTCTCCTCATCTCTGGGGAGTGCCAAGCTCTGGGCCATGGCTAAGGGTGTCACAGGCTCACAGAGCTCTCTGGAAGAACAAAAGCTTGGGTTTGCTGTTGGAAGGCAGGAGAAGGGCAGTTCTTGTCAGCATTTTCCTGGCTTTCCTCCCCCCCCCTTCCCCACCGCTCCATCTAGAGGCAGCTTTTTTCCCTTTTTGTGTCTCTTCCAAGAGTATGCAAAGTGATTTAGTTTGCAAAAATGCAAATACTGTCAATTTTTTAAAAAATATAAACAGCTGCAGAAAAGTGTTGAAAGTGAGTTATAAAAATGTAAAAAAAAAGAACATCATATTTAACGATAATTAACTCAAGTAGTTCTTCCTGAATTGTCCTGAGTACTCCTCTTCCTCACAATTCTTTGTACATAGTCACACACAACCCGCTAAATATTTACCCTTCCGAGGTATCCTGCTTACATCATGCACAGAGAAAGTGCTATACAGGAAATCTACTGGTAAACAGCAAAACCTTTCCACTGCAGGTTTTCAAATTGTTATTGCTGGATTATTCTAGCTCCACTGTAGGGAAAAGTGAAGCACTGTATGCAACAGAGGAGACAGTGAGCCAGATCATGGCCACAGTGAAGTTAATTTGGCCACTTACTCCATAGGACTGAAAATTCAGCTCTAGGCTAGTGTTAGAAGATCCCATAAAGAAGCTCAGCACTGGAAGCGCAAGGGACTAGGCTGGGTCTTTGCCACCGACACAGAGAAATAATCAAAGACGTCAAGCGCCATGTTGGAAATCCCTTGCTTACTCCAGTCCTGACTGCTGTTTTTAGGAAAATGCTGGCCTATTTCTTCATGCTGTCTCACTCATCACCCTAAACTCCAGTAGTCTGAAATTAAAAATAATGCTGCCAGTCTTCCAGCGAATAAAAACCGCATCATTTCACTAGATTCAATGGCCCAGTTCTCCCTATATTTTACCAGCTCCAAGATGACTGAATTCACTTGACAGCAGTGGGAATACAGAGCAGTGTATTGGAAAAACATGGGCTTGAAGAACCAGATTCTAACCCGACTTGGTATTGTAACCAATGCAATTAACCTAGTGGAGTTGATATGAATTTATATTGTGAGATTAAATCCAGTCCTTTTTTTCTCTATAATAGAACTTCCTCCCTTTTAGATAATCTTCATCCTTGTGGCTTCTCTTTTCCCTTTTGCTTAGTCTTCCATAAAACCAACAAATTAAAAGAGGATGTAGTAAAGTCTTAGGTATTTATATGGTGCCTATCATCTAGGCATTCAAGCACTGAGTAGAGCAAGAAAACTAATGTAAAGAGGTAAGCATTAATACAAGAAAAGATGCTTACTATCACAAACATTTCCCTTTAAATCATTGTACAAAATACAAAAGTTCACATTGTACACTGGATTTTTGTTTGAAAGGTACTCAATCTATTAGAGGTAGAAAGTGGTATGTTGCGATTCTCTCTCGCAAGTAGGCTAGAGTTATAAAGTATTTCAGAATGTGTCTTTTTTAAAAACATAAAAGTATTATTAAACTTGTCACAGGGATATTTTTCATAAATATTTTTAAAATGTCGTATTTATAAATATGTATGCTAAATAAAACCAGATGGAGGAACAGTTCAACAGTCCTAGCCTCATATTGCTTTCTCTATTAGAAACAAACCAAAGAGTTCTCAAATGGTTGCGGGGCAAATTCATTTTTAAATTCTAAAAACAAAAAATGAAGTTTTTTGCCCTGTATCTTGTACTCTGATCATAAAAAAGGGACTCTGTACAACATGCTGCATTTATACACCAGTCCTATGGAAGTCTGTATTCCTTAAGCGCTGCACATCAGTGAGCGATTTCACCTTTCATCTGAGATCCTCTTGTTCCTTGACTCAGGAGCTTCGAACAAACGTGAATATTTACACTATTTACAAATGAAGTGTCCAAGCTCAGTGGCATAAAGTGTCCTGTAAGAATCGCGTAAGCTGCGGTGACCCAAGTTCAGAACCTGAACAAGTTGATAAAGTCTTGTGGTGAAAGAGAGGTGGAGCAAGTCTCTGGGTTGTTGGCTGTGCAAGGGTGATCAGTACCCTGGGAAAGGAGAAAACAACTCCATTTAGAGAGACTGTGGAAAGGGCGCCAGAGCATCAGCCAGCTTAGCGCTGCCCCTCTGCCAGACATCCCGCTTGCAAATAGAGTGGAGCCCAGAATAGTATCTCTACTCTCGCCAAAGCAGACAGCTCAGAACTGGGCTTCATGTTTTAGGGGCTACTGGCAAGCCATGGGAAATACAACCAGCAAAGATCCAACTCATTCTTCTCTGCTCTTTTGAGGAAAGAAAGGCTGGAGCCTACCATCAGCTACAGGAGTTTAACTCCAGAGACATGCCTTGGATGTCACCACAGTGGCCAGCAGATTTTTGTCCTGGGCTGTTTTGTAGCCATCAGCTTGCATTTCAGCTAATCCTTGCCAAGACCTCCATCTCCACGTAATGGGTAGAAGGAGTTGCTGGCAGTGCTAAGATGATTTATTGCAGGCAACCCTACAGTATGCCCATCTCCCTCCCCTCTGGCCTTGATAGCCACTACTCTTGTTCAAAGGGACTTAATAGTTGAGGGAGGATTAAGATGTAGGAAAACACTAGGTTATAAAGGCAAAGGAACTGCAGCACCCTAAACCAGCTGCAATCAGAGGAAGCATTGGGTGCCCCGTGGCTCCTGCCCCAATCAAGTTTGTCTCACCAGCACCTCATTCATACCTTCCAGGAGAGGATGTGGCAGTGCCTGCACAGCTGCAGTGTGTCACCATACTGCTCCTTCCGTGGGTAGCACCTTATGAGCTTAAAGTACATCTTTTTCCAATCCAGCTGTCCCTTGTCAGATAAGATTAGCCGTTTGCGAATCTTAAAGAAAAAATAATTGTAACTGTAGCAGGTCAAAAAAAATTATTTGCTCTTTCCAACTCATGTTCTTCTCCTCTCCCTCGCGTGTCATCCTTGCTGGGCCCATAACAGTTCCCTTGTAACACCGAGAAAACTCCTGCTCTGAATATCCAGCTATAACCAACTTCCTCATGGCAACAGCCTCACCCGATACCATTATCAGGGTCTATCCCCATTTCATGAAGATTACTGTATGAAAGCCTGAAACCCTGGGAGCTAATTTGTACTACTTTAGCCAGTGTTGCTGGCTGGCAGGACAGTGAGTATAGTTGCATTTAACATTTTCAGCAGTTAAAGTATTTTGCTTCTTCATTGACTCAGAGTCAGTGATTTGTCACATTAGCTTGGGAGAAACCCATCTTTCTTTTAGGGTTCATTAGTTGCAGAGACTGGATTAGAATGTTCTTGTTAATAGAACTAACTTCCCAGAATCACTTCCAAAGTCAGATCCAGAGTGAGCAAATAAAGCCAAGTTAGCAGAGAAATCTGGCACGTGGCCCCTGAAATGTAGAGGTCTGGTATAAACACCCCAGACATTCACCCATAAACAGAAAGAGGGATTTTTGTTTGTTTGTTTTTAAGTTTAGAAGACCCCAGATGATTACCAGCCCGCAAAGAGCCAAAGCTGTTTACACAGGTACAATGTGGGTAGCGGCAGGGCTGTTTTCCACATACTATCCCTGTCACTCACAAAACAGCTCAGAGGGGATTTCTTGCTCTAAAGGGCAAGAGAGCACGACTCATTGCTCATGGACCACATCCACAGAGATTCTCTGCGAGGGTGTCAGTCCCTGGGACATCAGGGTGATTGCTGGAGTTTGCCTGCATGTTTTCCCCCTACACGTGGGGCGAGGAGCAACTGCATGACTTGCAGTTGTTACCACCTGGATTAGGGTTGAAGTTCACCATATGACTAACTTCTCAGGCTCCTATTTCAGGAATCATTGCTGCGGCATGAAAAACCCTCTACATAAATCATCTTCACAGCCATTCTCATGCCAGCCTGTATTATCAGCTCGTGGCACAGCCCTCAGATCCAAGGGATAGTCAAGTAATAGTGTCCTACCGACATGTGTTCACTTGCTAGTGGGGTACAAGAAGCAACTGATGACAGTTTGCATCCCTCCTTGTACCTGTCTGTCTGTGAAGTGGTACTGGCAGAGTTTCTTCCACAGCAGCCGGTCTTCACTGAGCGCTTGCAGGTCGGGAGCCACCTGACCGAGGCTAACCAGATCTCTCCCATCACTCAGTCGCTGCATGATGTTCAATTGTAAACACAACGGCAGGTCTGTTAAAGTGGTTCCTTTAAAGGCAGGCTGGAAGAGACAGACAAAATTGAGCTCACAGAAGCTGAAAACCCAAGCAATTCTAGCTTGCAGTAGAGTTACTGCTTTTTAAGCATTGCTCTTCACATAGAGGATAAGCAGCAGTTCACTCTTCTGAATAAAGAGACATTTTACATAGAGACATTTGACCTTCTGTCCCAGAACAGTTTGAGATATCCTCAAGGAAGGGGACATGTATTTGTATAACGGCATTTAGAAGGAGAGTTATAGGCCAAGCCTCCTTCTCCCCTTTTTGTCCATCCCACATCCACACTCGTGAGACTCTGCTCCCAGAAGCACCACCACCAGCTTTCACTACAGCAGGACATTGGCTACATCATGGATATCAGTTATTAACCATCCAGGCCTCTCCACCACAAGGGACATCGGCATTACTTCTTAAGTTCAGCCTCCTGTTACACACACTGCTGGGAATCTCATGCTCTTCTGACACGTGTTTTAGCTTATGTCATCACAGGATCCTGCTGTAACCACAGCAGTGGCTGATGAGTACCCACAGCAGGGTTTTCCCTGTATGGTTTCCCAGGTCACTGCTGGCAAGGCTAACTTTTCCTCTGTGAATGCTTGAAGGACCTGCCCCTTTCCCATCAGCTGCGGCCATGGTTTTCCAGGCTGTTCAGCCACACCAAAGTACATCCTAGCCTAGAGAGCCAAAAGCCACCTTCACCCCCATCCACCTTCACGTGGTCTACATGGGGTCCAGGACTGTTTTGCAAATCTGCATGGTGGCACAGCTCCAGGACAAATTAACCACGATGGGTCTGCAGGTCCTGCACATGGGGAAAATCCAAGGCACATGTGGAAGCAAGGCACCAGCAAGGACCACAAGCCGGGCTCCAGCTGCTCCAAAACCAGCCCCAGCCTTATTAAGGCAAACAGCAGCTTTTAGTATTGGGCCCCAAAGAAACAATGTTAGACAAATGTGCCAAGTTTATCATTTACCCTGCACAGACACGCTGCTATTTTAAGTCACAGAGTCACAGCACCCATCTTGCAATTGGCAGAGCTATTAACTGTTTCAAACAAGAAGCATGTGCACGGCCATCAGCAGGGGAACGCTGCATGAGGCTGCTTTTAATCACACGGTCCCATCTCCAGCCAGCCCCGTTGCACATGAAACTCCACAGGCACAAGAAGTATGTCTGTGCACAAACAGCTCCCACCTTCCCTTCAGTGCTCCAGTGCCCAGCCTGCCCAGACCATGCAGCACTGTCCGGTACAGGCGAGGACCACAGCTTTTCAACCAAGGCATCATTTTTGGCCATCTCCACCAGCAAGACAGGCCTGAAACAACCCCTCCAGGAGTGGACTGTCTCTGCCATCTCCAGAAGACATTTCTTCCCATGATAGCTTTAATGCTGCATGCTGAGAGTTAAGCTGTAAGCAGCACACTGCCTGGTTACATGTAGATGCTTCCTTGGTACAATCCACAAGTCCAGACTTGGCATCCCTGCCCATCAGTGCAAACTAAGGTCTTATTTTGGGGTAGGAAGAATGCACTGGAGCATTGGATCACATCCTGTTGATTTCTCTTACCAGCCTGTCTTTTGCATTCTCCAGCAGTCTCTCTACATAAAACCTTTGCTAGGGCACAACAGGCAAGACTAAGCTCTGAGGCTCTTGGGTCAAAAAAAAAACCCCCAAAGATCACACTTATGTCTTATTTCTGAAGAAACCAGTGTAACTCAAGCAAATCCTTACAGGTTTTCTGAGTCAGGGCCAAAGACTTATCTGCTGCTTCTTTCCCCCCAGTACTCCTTTCCAGGACCTTTCAAACATTACTTTTTTTGGAGAAAGAGCACAGATTAGATCAGAGCAGATCACTATGCTGTCATTTTCTGGACAGAGTTCTTTTAAAGCAACTCTAGCACACACAATATTTTGCAAGTTTTTTTTTTTTAAAAAAGGTTTCGGTCTTGCCTTGTTGCAAGACATCTCCCCCTCTAGAAACAGCAGAAGTGCTGCATGCACTGTAAGCAACTGGCTGCACAGAGCTGAGCCTGTTCTTCCTTCCTCTAAACTCAGCTGGTTTTGTTGTAGCTTGACCTGAAGTCATACTCAGTGGTGTGAAATTTTTTTTCTGCAAGCTCAACATCTATTTTATTTATTTTAGAAAAGTGTCTGTAAACCTGCAGGGAAGTAAGTATGCATAAAAGGCTGTTCCATTCACAAGCAAAATTTTGATGCACTTTTGTCTGGATAGGCAGAGTTCTTTGAAATGCTTGTCTCTGTTCTGTGAGTCCCTAAAGCAGAGGGGAAAAAACCTACATTGTACTACTGAGTTGAGCAGCAGGAGGTAAGTCCTGACCTGTGGCGCACTCAGGGCAGCAGATGCCCAGATAGAGCTGACCCTGGCAATGGCCAGGCACAGGGCAGCTCCCCAGCTCACAGACCTGCTGTGCTGCTGGAGCCACCCCATAGCTGGGCCAGTGCTTCCCCTGCAGCCCATCCCAAGAGCTGGACACCAGGAGGGACAGCAGAGGCGGGGCAGAAACCACCGTAAGATAAGGCACTGCTGCTTTTGCAGCTCTTCAAACTCCCCGAGACCTCCCAGAGTTCATCATCTCCTGTGTCATGTTGTCTGTGTTACTCTGAAGGACTGGAAACTGTTTCCTGGCGTCCCCAGAGAACACAGCCATGTAAAATGATGAAAGCAGGCCCTTTGCTTAATCCTTTGCAAATGCGTCTCTGGTTGACCCACCAGGGAAAAGGTGCTTTTTGTATTCCCTTGGGCCATGCCTTGGTCTGCCCAAGTAGGAATTTCACAGTCCAGTTCACTGCAGAAGGGTCCTACAAGGGGCACACCAACACAGAGATCAGCACTGGGGGAAAGCTTTAGCATTTCTGTAGAGTATCTATTTGAGGTGGAAAAAAAAAAGTCTAGACATGGTCCTGGGCAACTGGTTGTAGGTGTCCCTGCCTGAGCAGGGGGGTTGGTCCAGATGACCTCCAGTGGTCCCTTCCAACCTCAATCCTTCTGTGATTCTGTGAAGTGGACCAAGTTCAGGGTTGATTCCCATGCAAAACCAGGTTAGGAATTTATCAACGAATACATCTCTTTCCTATCCCCACAGACACTGTTGAAAAAACAGATGTTGTGAAAGCAGGACTCGTCCGGCTGGAACGGGCAGCTCCAGACTACTGGAAGAATCATTGATATTTTCAGCCAGGAAGCATGAAGTTATGCAGCTATTTGGAAATTTGCATTTAATTTACAGATTAAACAAATCTAAAACCCTCAACTATCTGATAAACAAGTTTTGAAGGCAATTTCTCAGTCTGAAAAAGACTGAGTTGACTTTTCGTGCTGACAGCCTAGTCTCTGAAGACTCTCAAGAGGGGGAGATTGTTTCCTGCCCAGCTCTGTTCACACAGCACTTCATGGCCGTTAAGGAGTCAAGCCACCATCTGAGACCAGTTACAGTGAGCATGATCCTGGGTTGTGTACATTGAGTTTGAATTAAGGGACACAAGTAACACTAGGAACACATCCAGTTATTCTGGCAACTCCAAGTCCTTCCCCAGCACTCTGCTTGCACTGGAAGGACAGTGGGATGCAGTCACCCAAATGAGAGCTGCTACGTGAGGTTTCACAAAGGAGCCACATTATTTTTAGCTTTCAGGATTTGTGCTTACCCTGGTGATCTGAATGTTGTTCAGTTGCTGCTGCCAGTGGAGAATACTCTCCATCCTGTGCACCCACATGTTGATGTTCCCAACCAGGACAGACTTGCCGACCCGTTGAACTAACGTGCAGAGGGATGTGTAGAGGGTCTGCAGCAATTCTCGTATTAGCCTGATGTTCTGCTGATCTTCAAGGACTTTGGAAGAACAGGAAAGATTAAAAAATGGGAACTGCCCAAATCCTTTTCTGAATCTACATGTTTCTCAGGCAAGTCAAGTTACCCACTATAACCTCAAATTCCAAGAGAGCCAGCCTGCACTCTTCTCTTTAGAGGAAAGCACTTAAACATTAGCAAGGCACAGCAGGTTAGACAGCAGATGGAAAGAGATCCTCCCAGGATAAGCAGATGAGATATGTGCCCTTTCTGCAGCACGTCCCATTTCCAGCCGCTGGCAAGCAGCCAGTTTTCCCCTCTGATACATGCGAGAGGTTATCTATGTGCACCTTTTCCCCATCTCCCCCAGCTGATGTACAGGGATCAGGATCTCCTTTCTCACTATGTATATACGCACTAACAGGGTGCTCTCAATTCCCAGGCTTCAGCCAGAGCTAAAGCATCAGGGAGGGAAGTGCCACATCTCAACCACAATTCAGCCCCCCCAGCAGGTGAAGACAGCCCTTGAGCTTTCCTTTCCTCCGGAGCAGTGGGAGCACTTGATAATACAGCAAACTGGCGACAAGGAAGCAGCAGAGACTGCAGATGTGCCAAGCTGGGGGCAGGAGCAGCCATCTCTTCTGCAGTCAGAAATAGAACTCAGTAGGATGCAGAAGGGGTGGTAGCGAGGAAAGTTGGAGAAGGAGGAATTGCCTCTCACATGCCTACCAGAATACAGACATTTCTTCCCACTCCCCCCCCAACATAGTCCTTCACCGAGGGAAAGGAAAGTAGAACCGCACTACAGAAATAAGCAGTGGTGCCCCACTTCACCCATCTTGCATTGCCTGGCTATTCTCAAGGATGTGGTTCACACAAAGTACTTCAGATTAAATCAGTCTCCTCCTCCTCCCCCTCACTGTTTCCGTTTCTTACCTTTCTGTACCACTTTTTCCAAAATGTTCATGTAGTTTTTCTGGGCAATGCCACTCAGTGACGTCAGCTGAGACTTTGCTATCAGCTCCAACAGCTGTGGATAAAAATAGAAGTTGCAAGCCTTAGAGCACAGAGATACCTTTCTAATCTTAACTCCTGGTCACATGACACAGCAAAACAGTCCAGAGACTTGTTTGCTGCTTGAAAATAAAAGGGAGACAGAACGACAGAGCAAACTAATGCAAAGGGGGAGGAGAACAGAGGCCAAATAATTAATCCCACATCGAAAGGGGTAGAAAAAAAAAGGCATTCTAATGATCTTAAGGGGGGGAGGGAAAAACTCCCTTGATTTCATGATTCAGAGATGCAGAGAAACCACAGAGTAGTGCTCAGACTGACAGCCTCTATTCACACCAAGGGAACAACGAACAGCTGACGTCACTGTTCCTTCACTGGGGCATAAACAAGCAGTGTCATAAGGGAACATGAGCAAATGCCTGTTTGGATGGGGATATTATTGATGGAGCATTAATGAGAATCAGACCCCACAATTTACGTCAAACTCCTGGGTTGCATTGGTTTTGTCAGAGTGCTGTCGCCATGACAGAAAGGTTAATCACTCTATAAAAAACAAACCATCCCCCCCAACAAAACCCTATTCCCCCAAGGCTTCCTCCCCTGTTCAGCTCTTACAGCTGCAACACCAAACCACCTTTCCCTGTTTGTCCTGTTTACTTGTTAACCTCCCTAATGGAAATCTCACTTTTACTTTCAATTAGGATTTGCTTCCCATCACTGATCTCCTGACTCATGTACAAGCTGGACGCTGAATTTGGGCTGTAGTTGCTAAAGGAAGCATTTCCCATGGGGAAGATGCCCTCTCCTCCCCAGCTCTCTACCACCACAAGAACAGCTGTGGAAGTTTCCTATGGATCATGCTCTGCAGAACATGTGGCCCGTGATCTTCCAAGCCTTCCTCCCTTCCCCCAGCATTATATAAATACACAGAGCGTCCACGTGTCAGTCCATTTGTTTTGGATGTACATAGCCTTCTGTTTTAATTTAGAAAGGAAAGGAAAAACCTTTTATGCTACAAATCAATCAACACATTACCGCATGACTAGCTTATTAATCCTTTATCTTCTGCAGCTACAGTATCCCGTTGCTGGCACCGCAGAGAGTCCAGAGAAGGTGCAACTACTTGTGTCAAGTAACTAAGAAAGCTTTTGACAAGACTTGATAAGTCATGAGCTGAACCATTTGCCCCACTATAAGAATGACAGGAATGTATCCAAAAAGTCACCGGCACCTTGCCATGAAGCAGGGAGCTCAGGGAGAGTTGTTACTGCAGTCATTCGCCTGCTCTGCTGTCTGGGGCACTGGCATGCGACTGCCTGTTAGGAGCAGTGAAGTCGCCTAGAGTGACCGATCTCTTCTTCCGTTTAATTTCCAGGCCAACACCATCATCAGATGGCTTTGAGTTTACATTCTATTAATAACTTGCACCTTGCATGACCGAAGGAAAACAAGATGAAAAAAGACCTGCACTAACTCCTGTGAAGGGCAGGCTGCCTGTTTTCTTGGCTCATTTGGAGGAAACAAGAGATGCTTGAGAGTTGGGTAATATTTGGTGCACAGGCATCAGTGGATCTTCTTGCTCTATCAGCTAAACTGAGACCACAATAACTAGATACTCTTAAATACATAGCAGTTTCCAAGATGTTTGAGTTTTTTTAAAAGGTCTTTTCATTTTTTGAAATACTGGAGGAATAAGTAGAAAAAAAAATCAGTGTCCCAAAGTAGTCTGTAATACTCCCCTTACACTAAACTATTTAGCCTTCAGACCTTTGATTATAGTGATCAATTTGCCAGACTCCATCTGTACATTAGCCACACATGCACCCAGATCAGCTCTTCTGTGCATAACAACTGCTGTCTCCAGATTGCACCATTCTGGAACTGGCACAGACACAGCTTCATCCAGGCTGGGTGTTAGCAATGTTGTGCCTGTTACTGAAAACGCCAAAATGCACCCAGTGATAAGAATCACGTAATGCAATACAGTAAAAGCTAGATGCCAGGGCCATTCTTTAAGGGGAACAAGGATAAAAATCTCAGTTCCTTGAAGAACACTAAATTGGTACAAAAGTAATTTAGCCAAAGGAACAGATTAAAATTTGCCTTGTCTGTGTTTATCAAGGTTCAATTTACATTCAGTGAACCAGCTCAGATATCATGTGTCACCTCCCTTCCCCTGCAGCAATAAACACAGTTTTCATATGGAATTTCATCATGTGTTGCAAATACTTCCAGGACTACTCCACTCTCCAGGGACTGTTGGCTGAAGCGACTGGCTAGCCCTCCAAATCAAAAGACATTTTTTATTCTTCTGTGCTCATATAATACAGAAAAAACAGGTAAGCAATACAGTTCATCTGTGCCCCACATGCTCCAGTGCACTGAGGGTCTTTCAGCATTGGCACAGACGCAGCAGAGTACAGTCTCAGTTAATGGATTGCCAAACTGGGGTCTACAGCATTATCAAAAATAAATCAATTGTTGCCACTTGCATAATACAGACTAAGAGAAGACTGATGAATTCAGATTAATGCTGAGTAGGTTAAAAAGGCTGGAGAGCTGCAAGCATGTGTTATGATGCGGTTGCATTAAGTCCAGCCCACGCTCAACAGAGGAACAGATGGTAGGAGAGAGTGCACAGGGAAAGGTTAAGAGCAATTTTAAAAGGCCTGCTTTTTGAAAACACTAAGTGATTGCATTCCAGCTGATTTTAACTGGAGCTGGAAAGTCTGCAACACCTCTGGAGAGCAGAGCATTAGATCCCAATTCACTCCTTCAACTCCTCAAAAGTTGAAAAAGGTGACCTGGTAGCTTTCCCAGAAAATCCTTCCTACCACCTCACCCCTATGTTGTTTGGTCTCAGAGGTCTGCCAGAGCCACAGAGAAAAAGGCAAGAGATCCAGTGGGCTATTCCAGAGCCTCTGCAAGCTGGCAGGAGGCAGCATCTTCCACAGCAGGGCAATAACCTGCTCATTTCCCCACGACTGTGATGGGGCTCCTGCTCAAACCCCACCAGCAGTCAGTCTACAGCAGTTGGTGCAATGAGCCACTTAGCTCCAGGAGCAGAGCGGGTCCTCCTCCCATAAGCACTAGGAAAAAAACAGCAAACAAAACAGTGCCATGAGGCAGGGAACAAGGGCCCCTGTTTCAGGGCCATGAAAACACACTGCTCTGCACGCATGACTGTGTGCACAGCATTGCTTAGACCCGCTACAGCCAGATGGCACTTCTGCCACTGCCTCGGTTCAACACCGGGGTGTGCGGGCAATCCATACCCCAAATAACTCACAGCTAGGGGCTTACAGCACACCGAGCCAAAAAATTTTCAGCAGGCCTGCTGCACCAAGCAGGAGGGTGTAACCTTGCCTCAAAAAGGGACATGCTTTGTAATGATTAAAATCACAAGTCTCAAGTTACTAAAGTGTAAATCCCCCTTTGAATACCCCAAACCAGCTATAGGGAAGCTGGACTGCACCTGTGGGGATCCATAAGCTCCTCCTGGTTGAGGATGTGGCTCCTCACATGTGGACTGCTTAGAGCAATATATTGCAATGAAAAATTCCTCCTCCAGCTCTCCTTGCTCTCGCAGCCCTTTGCTTTCTGTGGCTGAAATGTCACATTGGCTTTCGGCTGGGAGAGCAAGAGCAAGGCGAGTTATAATGATTTACAGCACAGGTGCTGACAGATCTCCATGAGACAGAATCAAGCTGATACTCTTTCAGCACAGCATAAATCCAGGACTCCCAGAGCTAACTGCTATAAAAACTTAAAAGCAAATTTAAGACACTACTTTAGCAGGTTGCACACTAAATCATGTTATTCCAGAAGTTATGCCCATGCAGTTTAACCTGACCTAAGCTTTTATGATCAGAAACAGCACCTTCCCTTGAGATGTTACTACACAACCATCATATGACAAATCTTTCTGAAAGCAGCAGCCTGCAAAACCTCACTGTCATCTGAACAGAGTGTTCCCAAAGGAGAACCAACAACTTCTGGGCTGCAGGCACTTTTGTCTCTGCTCATACTACTTATGCTTACAGAACGCTTCCAGTCTTTTCATAAAATCTCTAAGACCAGAGAAACCAGGGCTGCTTCAAGACCAAGAACAGCTTGGACAGTTTGGGTCCGCTGGGTCAATCACACACATCTTACTAGCTCTAAAGAGGGAATGTTGTCCTGTAACACATAGTAGTCAGATGCTATAGTTTAAAAGATCAGCAAGGACCAAGTCATGGCATCAATACCTATACTTAGCACTTCCAGCGCTCTATCAGCAGACTATCAAGACAAGATTGATGTTGGAGGAAAATTTCTTCCGCTTCAGCTACATGAACTCACTGGCTACAGCTGATGGTATTTGCCCATCAAAAATACCTGCCAAGCTTCTTGCAGCTCACACCTCCACCTCACTTGAAGGAGGTACCCATTTTATTAGTGCACCATTAAGAACTCCAAGAACTTAGTTTGGGTATATATTAAGGAGCAGACACTTCTGTACGACAAAAAAAAAAAACTCAGCACTGAAAACACTGTAGCTCTTAGGTTCAGAGAAATTCAGAAAGGAATGCTTTGAGAAAGGCAAGTTGATGTTCAGCCTGAAAGCCCATTTTGCTATCAGCAGTGATGTAGCTTATTTCTCCACAGAGCAAGTTTGCGTGTAGCCAGCAGAATCCCAAACCTGCAGCTGTTCCTCTCCTTTCTTCCCCTACGGACATCCTCATATTCTCCCCCAGCCTCCAACTCTAAACTTCCCTCCTTGGAAAGCATTTGCTTGATGAACTAAGTAGCATGACATTAATCAGATACCCCGAGCAACGGGTGGAACTAGAGAGAACAAGGAGCAGGAGGGAAGGGAAAAATGTTTTTCCTGCCAATGTTCAGGGCATTTTCCATGTGACACATTGCTCATCTGTATGCTCTAGGAGGCTTGCAATTTGCAAAGAACCATGAACAAGATCCACATCTAGGCAGAGCTTTTCATGAGTAAATCTGGCACATAAGGCATTTTATGAGCTACTATCCACTAGAGACTTGGCCGATACAAGCCTTTCATTTTAAGAAGTCAGTTTTATATTTGATCCGTGGTACCAGGTTTAATATATTCTTTAATCTGCCAAACCACAAGTCAGCCTCAATTAGAAAGCTTCATACTGCTCACTAGTGCCGTATCCTTAACACTACTGGGGGGAAAACTACTCTGAAAAGCTCAGAAGGGAGGTAATTTGTAGAAACAAGGACACATGCTGACTTCCATACAGAACACTGCTATTTTGGATGCACAACAGATTTGGGATGCTTTTATGAAGTCCTCATGGGGAAAAAGGGGGAAGAAGGTCAGCCTGAGCCTCTCCATCAGGCCACACTGACTTCACTGAAATTTGAGTTTGCTCTTCAAAAAAATTTAATGGGACTTCTGGTCAATCATTGCAGTCCCATGCAAGACACCCATTACATTGGGCTGAGCAGAAACCCATCACATGGCACAGCATGACCTGAGGCCACACTTAGCAGAGGTCTTTGGAGTTCTTTGTTGTCATAAGACAAAGTCTGCCAAAGGGATCTCTGGAGCACCAAATGCAAGTTTTATTTTATTTTCCTCCTTTATATTTGACTAAAGGGTTATAGCCTTGGCATGAACTGTTCCTTCCTCAGTAATCCCCCTGAAGATGACACAGCCATGTGTATATATATCCAGTATCAGAAAACACTGAGTACCTCAACACTGGTGATCACCTTCTCTGCACAAGCAGGAAAACAAGTTGTCCCAGGACCAGCAGAGCTAGGACAGCCTGAGTTCCTATGAACTTGTATCCCGCTTTGCCTCCCCCAGCATGCCCACTCCCTGCCGCCACCACCCCTGCAGTGGGACATCCAAGTGATTGCCAGTGCCCTTCCTGCACTGCAGGTAGGTAATCACCCCCAGTGCCTGTACCCTTCCTTCCCAGGGTGACAGAGGTTTTCACAGGCTCCTTGTCATCTAGACAACAGGTGAACAAACCAAGGTGAACTTGCTCAGATCATTTCTTCCTTAGACACTTTTGATGACATTTGACTTGGCAAAGGGAAAGCAATACCAATGCGGCTTGCTCTAGAACCTAAAACCTGAACAGCTGGTGCCTCAGCAGTGATCAACTGCTGATGAAATGTGAAAAGGAGCTGTTTATAAACAGCCTCAAGTTAATAACAGATTTTTTTTTAAGCTTATTGAATTCCAAACCTTGATAAGCATTCTGAAATTCAAGATCAATTTTCAGATCAGATGCACATAAACATACACCCTCAAGACAGTAGCTCCCCCAACCACTACCACCCCCCTTGGCCCGCAGAGCCAAAAGAGAAGCCCTGATGTGTTATGCAAAGCCAGAGCATGTGGAGCCTGGGGTTGATGACTCCTTCCTACCAACTAATGGTGTCAGGGCTAACCAAATGCTTCACCCGCTGAAACTGTTGCCAGTCACACAGGATTAAGAACAACCACAATTCTTAACAGAGAAGTGTCTCCAAGAGGTTCAGCCCATCCTCTCACTCCCAAAATGCTCAACTCCCCAGAGTCTCTCCTGTATCACTTCAAAGGAGACAAAGCTCCACATCCCTTGTGGAGCTGGAATCTCCTATGCAAAGAGGTCCCCGCTGCTCTTTGGCCTCTGCAGAGAGCCCATGCTCCTTTTGAGGCTACAGGAATCACATTTAGAAGCTGAACTGAACTCAGGAATTAGAAGCTAAGTTTTCTGAGTTTCAGAAGTGAATTTCACAACTGAAAAGTACTAGGAATGCTAGGTTAAGGACAGCCCATCTTCTACATTACCACCACCTCCCTCCCTCTCTATTTTAACAGTTCAAAGAGGAGGTTTGGGCATCTATCCACACAACTTCCATCAATTACTTCATGCACCAAAGCCCAACACCCCCACATGCATGCTTGGACCTCTCTTCTTTGCCAGTGCTTGCCATCACCCAACTGGTGCTCAGTTCAGAGCCTCCACCACCATCACAGCAAAATAAACCCTGGCCTTTTGCTCACCCTCACGACATAGTTGAATCGCCTGGAGTCCAGGATAGCACTGGAAAAGTCAAGTCGGTTGAAGGCTTCTCCCAAGGTGCAGTAACCATGGCGCTGAGAAGAAGAAACAGTCTGGGTCATGTTTTGGCAGACATGAGTCCAGACAGCACCAGGAAGACGTGACCCAGAGCAACTCAATTTAGCAAGCTAATGGGTACAAACCATGGGACCAGCTCATGGCTGGAGGAGGCAGGGCTGTCTCCCACAGAGCTGCACTTATTGACGTCAAGGGTGGGCATGGCCCAACGTACGTTATGGTAGGTTCCCAGGAGTGACCTGAGCTCTGCTCATGACCCATGAATTTAAGGGTGAGAATGAGGCACACATTCCCGGGGTTCAATATATAGTGCGAGTACAGAGCTGTCTGATATAGCCGCTTCTCTCCATGAGTGCGAATGAGCCATTGTGATGAATTCCAATGATTTTCCATGTTAGGACTGTACTGGGCGGAAGCCAAGAACAGTATTATGGCTTGGTCTGCAAATGGCTGGTTTTTTTTAACTGAGGGAAGCAAACAAGTCATATTTTAAACACATATACAGAGCCTTGTAGAGCAAGCCCTGGCTCCCTGATTGGGGCTTAAAATCATTACTGAAATTCCAACCACAAGCCAGATCTTCCACTTATCTCTTAAGAGCTTCTGTTGATTTATATCAGCACAGGATCTTCCATTGCTTGGAAAAAACAGTAGAAAAGGGAACAAAGAACATAGAGGCACTCACCTCTTTTGTGCTCCCCTTGTGAACATAGATCCACTTCTCCTGGTGGAAATCTGTTTGGACAATGACACATTTTGCTCAGTTAGCCTTCCACCACACAGAGGGCTAGATCTCTGTTCTGCTCACAACGCTCACTGCCCTTTTAGTGCAAGTGAAGTTATTTTGTGTTTACACCACTGCACTTCAAACTAAAACTAGCAACTTGCTGAGCTGCTTTGTTTCCATACTGCTTCATTTGAGACTGCGGCCCTGAGCTTTAGAAAGGGCTTCTGTTTCAGTGACACAGCTCAAGACTGTAAATGTTTAATCTCCCAGCCACAGATATACCATAGCACCTCCTCTTCTTTGGTCCCAGACAGTAAGTGTGGCTGACAGCCAGGTTTTGTTGTTATTGATTTTATTAACTATTCATTACCTTGGTTACAGGCTTGGGATTGAATGTCAAATTTGAAGTTGAGCAAAAATGTCATGAGACACCAGGCATGTGGGAGAGAGCTTTTAGCAGTGAGGTCAGGCTCAGAGGAGCATGCTTGTGCTTGCAGCTAACTTGCTAAAAAAGAAAAACCTATTTGGAACCAAAATTTTCCTATTTCTAATTGCCCCTCCCTTCCCTCAGAAATGGGAGTTGTCCCATCCACTCCCCAAAAATAGCTTCCCTGTACCCACCACACACTGCTAACTTGGTTTGTGGAAGAGCCCTTACTGTACACAGTTATGCTGCTCAATCCTTCTCCCACGGGCTTTGACCCTACTTCCACCACATGCTGGCAATTCAACAGCTAGTGTAAGAAAAATTATTTTCCCCATCCTGCTAGACTCCTTTCCTTAAAGGAAATATTGTGCTCCTGGAATCTTTTTCCACCTAAGGATGCAGTGATGTACTCCTGCCTGGTACTGTGAGCCCAAGGACAAACCCAGTCTCAGTTACAGGCACGCAGACCCTGCATCAGGCCCTTTTAAATAGTAGGTCACAGCAGAATCCAGCCAAAAACTGTCATGGTAACATTTGTTTGTTCAGAGAACCGAATGCACCGAGGGGCCAACTTTGGCATCAGTTTCCGAAATCCTGGGGGATGCACAATGAGCTAATAGTAGTGTGGGAATTGTAACTCATTTCCTCTGTGTATGTTTACATTTGTAGCCTTCACATCTAACTCCAGTACCTATCTTGCAGTCAGAGCAACAGAGACCTTGCTGTCCCTGCAGGCTCCCCCAAGTCCTCCCACAGTGCACCATCCGAGACCCTGGCTGCTCGCTGTGCGTACAGAAAGATTTCAAACCTTCCATTGTTTTGAGCGAGCTGAAATCTTATTTCATTTTTCATGCACTCCGCACACAGAGATAGGATCAAAGCTCACATTGAGGCTTGTAGCCTCCAGTAATGTAGATTAGTGCTCAACATGCATATGGAAGGAAGAATAAATTTAGCCTGCTGTGCACAAGGAAGTCTACAGGGGGAAAAAAACTGGAACTGGTTCATTTGAATGTACCATAGGAAAAAATTACCCTCCTTCTGACAAACACAAATGACAAATTTGAACACAACAAGCACAACTCCTCAGAGCAGGGATTACTAACAGGGGCATAAATCTTCACATTAAACTGTATCCAAGTTCTCTACTTAGGTCAAACATGGGCGCAAAGCCCTTCAAGACACTCTGAAGACTCTTCATGCACTATGCAAAAAACATAGATACGAAGCATTTTCCACTCTCCTGCAGCAACTTTTATTTAAAAAAAAAGACCAAATAGACATCTTACATTGAATCTTGGCTTTGTTATTCAGCAGGTCTTTTTTCCTCTTCTTGGCAGCAACATCATAGTTCAGGCTGTTGAAGAGATTCTCTTTGTTGTGATCGTCCTTTTTACAAAAGCTGTGAATGACACAAAGCAAGGATTCTGTTTATTTCTGCAGTCTGCTGAACACTATGCTTCTTGCAAGGAGAGAAAATACATAGGTTTTCATTGTGAGCTCCAAAGCTGCCTCCTTGCAGGCTGCTCTTGAAAAGTCTGCATGCAGTTTTTTTGCATCCAGTAATGGTATTTTTAAATGAGCCTCTGGTGCCTCATTTCTGTGCTAAGATACCCAAACCAGACAGCAGCAGATAATACAGATTGCACAGTTAGCGCTGGGACACCGCTGGGCAGTATTCTTTCCTTCTCTTTAACCTGTTCCTATCTTTAAGTAACACCATATCCTCCTACTGTAGGTGGTAGATTCCTCTGAGCCAGTCAGACTTCTATGGAAGGATGTATTTAGACATCTCTAAAGGACATATATATATATATACACACGCACTCAAAATATTTATTAACAAAAGAGTCCATGCAAAACATTCTTTCAAGCTTACAGGAAAAGCTCAGCTGAGGTTCAGACTTGGCTGGTGGTTTTCCAAACCCCACATAGTAGTGACTATACAAATTAACAGCTAGGATCTCTTGTCCAATACTGTCCATCTTCTGCTTTTGCTGGAATTCTGCTATAACTATATTATTAGTGAAGGGAGCTATAACCCCTTATTTTCTTTGAGGGCAATGAAAGACTATCTATAAAGAGACTATGCATCAACATCTCCACATTCTGCAGACCTGCAAATCAGCAGATCCAAGCCACAACATGAAACCGAGAAGCCCCTGGGCAGCCACAGCACCATGGCACAGATCCCTGGGGGTGTCAGGGGAAGGCAGCACCCACCAGGAGATCTCTGCAGAGCCCCCCCTCCCCCCGCATGCTGCCCAGAGCTGCAGGGATGCCTCACAGGTTCTGGGGAGAAGACAGGCGATGCATCCAGGAGAATGAAACAGAGAGCCTCCCCCACTGCTCTAGCTGCTGGCAAGAGACGGCCAGTGGCTGTCTGCACATCTAAATTCAAAGAAGGGTCCCAGGCACCTTGCTGCACCTCTCCCCTGCTGTGGCTGGGACACCCCTGGAGCTCTGGCAGGCACTGAAATATGCTGCTGCTGGCAGCACTGGGCAAGCTCCCTCTGTGACAGCTGCGAGGACCCTTAGGCAGCCAGGCTGCTTCTTCTACAGACCTCGTGTTTACACTGTTTAGCCTCCAAAAAAATAATACGAGCACCATACCAACTCACACCTCCGACAGCTATTCAGCACAGGCTCCTGCAAAGGAATGAAACCTGCAGGACAAGGCTCCTTGTTTCCCATTTGCTGTCTGGCAGCATGACTACACCACCAGCATATGCAGAAGTCAAGTGACCAAGTCAGAGTTTCAGCCCCATGAGGGACCCAGACCTCCTCCAGCAGGGTCCATATGGGTGTTCTGGTTTGGCACCTGCACATGGCCCCAGAGGTGGAGGAACCCTCCCCCAGCTTCAGAACGCCATGAGCCTCGGCTCCCCCTTCCTGCTCCGCATCCCCCCCTCGCAGGGCACCACAGCTGCAGGGAAGGCACCACTCCTGCAGGCTCCACCACAACACTGCAAAAGGGGAACAGCAGCAGCAATGCAGGTGGACAAACATTCACAGCAACAGCAGCTCAGGGAACCACGTTTCTACCAGCTGGAGCTGGCTCAGAACCTAAGCCCAACAGCAGAACATCTCAGCTGCACATTTCCCCCATCCATGTTGCTTTCTGCTGGTGGGACCAAACCCAAGAACAGAGTATGGCAGTAAGGAAGAAGCAGTTTTGAGGTGTTCAAGTTCATATTTTATCAGGGTTGCACAAAATCAGTAACAGGCCAGGTTAACACGCCCTGTGCAGTGGCAGAATCCAAGCCCAAGAGCACAAGACAGATCTGCTTTAAATCTTACATGTCAACAGCACACCCTTGACTGTTGACTTCCTACTGAATGACTCTGTAATCTGAAACCTTCATAACAACAGCAATGGATGAATTCCAGTATGGGAGGCAGATTATTCCCCTGTTTATGTACTGCCAGGTTTCCACACACTTCTCCAAGGCGTCCTGACAGGTTGAACAGTTGGGCACCAGGACGTGGCACTGCAAGGACCTCAGTACGGGGCCAGTATGTCACCTCCTTTGCTTTTTTAATGGGAAAAGGGATGTATAAACCCGTGCCAAACTCAGTATTCCCAAGACAACCACACTCCCACCAGCCAGACATTTTTCTACCTATTTACAAATCAGATGCTTTGGATTCTAAGCTTGATTTTTATTTACAGCTTGCATGAAAGAAGGCAAGAGATAGAGACCTGCTACATAAACCTCCTTGCAAAGGAACATCTCAGCAGCAAATCCTTTTTTGCTCCAAGTCCCTTTGTCATGCACATTCCTGACCCATCCCTCAGCCCAGTCGCAGCAAATCCAAACCTGACTGCGCACAGCCGAAAACAAGAAGCAGCTCTGGGAGAAAAGTTTGGTTTTGACAGGAGCGATCTGGCCGGAGACCATTACACCCACGCTGCTGCAAAGGCTTCCTGCCCGCCCGACGCAGCTCCGCGGCGCTTCACCATCTTAGGGGTTTTGTTGATGTTTTGCAGGCAGATTAGTCAAGCAGCACGTAAGGTACATTACTCATGGTCTGGGGAAGATTTATGGCTTCGGACACATCATCCTTCTCCAGCCCGAGAGCCGGGAAGCCCGAGGAAGGGCACTTTGGGGAGGAGGAAGGGGGTGACACACACCTCCAGTGCCCCCCAGGAGGCACTGGGGATGCTCCCCGAGGGCACATCGCCCAGGCCGTGGGGCAGCGACTGTTTTCACCTTTTCCTGGCTTTTCCACCCCATCCCGCAGCCGTAGGCACGGCCCGGGCGCCTCGGGAGGGAGAGCCGCCTCCGCGCCCGGGCGCCCCGGCACCCCGCCGGGCCTGAGGGGTTCACAGCAGGCCCGGGGGAAAGCCGCCGGGCCCCTCCGCCG